CGCTGGCTGGGGAATTCTGGGAGTTGAAGTCCAGACATCTTCAAGTTGCCAAGGTTGAGAAACACTGGCTTAATGGACCAAATACTGCACTCAGTCCTCTGGCCTTTCCCCATATAACAATCCTGCGAGGCAGGTTCCATTTAAGAAAGCACCTGGCTCATTGTTATCTGGTGAGCGTTCTTGACAGAAGATTGGCATAACTAGATTAATCAAGGCCATTTTATCTTTGTATTCACAGTCAGAAATTTTCTGAAAACCCCTCATCAGTGTGGCCTTTGATTTTTCAGAGAATTGTTTTGATTCTGTTTATCAGAAATAAGTCAAATTACATTTTCCTGTCATGTAGATGCAGTGATAGACTTAATCTTGAATTTAATCACAATTATAGATATGGGACCCAAACAGGCCATTTTATCGTTGTATTTACAGAGAAGAATGCTATGAATTGGATAGTCTAATTGTTTTTATACCACCACCTCCTCCTCCTTCTCAGATTTGTGGACACAAAGCTCTGACTTTTTTCATTTGACTTTATCTCCAATCAGTTTTCTTGTATTCTTGAATTTAGAATATGAAAGGAGAACTTACAGTCTCTGGACAACCTGCTGTTCCCCAGCTGCACTTCAACGAGCCGCAAGAATGAGCTTCTGAATGCTGACAGACAGTTGCTTCTTACAAAGCAAAAATGTTCTGCCTAGAAGCACTGAGTGATTATAATTGATCATGACTGATTAAGGCATTGCTTTTAAAAATCTATACCTGGTGCTATTTCTTTATTAGTGGCCCTAACATGGATATGTTTTAAAGATGAAAATAAGATCTGGTGAAAGACTCTTACAAAGCAACTGACAGTTACGGCAATAATATTATTTTTTAAAATATGCCAGACCCATAGTTAACATAGCATTTATTACTCTCTCAATAACCTGGATGCTGGTCTGGTCCAGAGGTGGTATTCATCAGGTTCTAACCAGTTCTGGAGAACCGGTAGCGGAAATTTTGAGTAGTTTGGAGAACCGGTAAATATCACCTCTGCCCCTGCCCCCATCTATTCTCTGCCTCCCAAGCTCCAGCTGATCAGGAGGGAATGGGGATTTTGCAGTAACCTGGAGTGGGGAGGGAATAGAAATTTTTACAGTATTCTATCCCTGGAGTGGGAACGGAATGGAGATTTTACAGTATCCTTCCCCAGCCACAACCACCAAGCCATGCCCACCAAGCCATGCCACACCCACCAAGCCACACCCACAGAACCGGTAGTAAAAAAAAATTGAATCCCATCACTGGCTCTGGTCCCAGTAGTCATTAACTTAACATAAAGATATGCATGATGAGAGATGAAGAAGGAGAAAAAGAAAGACTTCTGAACATGAATTTCACTGGTCAATGAATTATATTGTTTTAACAATTGGAAGCACAATTTCTCTAACACACATAGTGAAAATTAGAATCAGTCTTTAAAAAACTTAGAACAAGCTCTTAATGGTCACGATCAGTGCAAATAAAATCAGATGGTGGTGATTCAGGCTAAGTAGTTAGCATTCAATATGTACTCTGAAGGATACAGCCTGTATTGATTGTCATAATTTACTTGTGAGGCTGACAAAGGGTTGCAGCTCAGCTTGGGAGACCTCAGCACTGCAATCATTAGAATCAATGGGCGGGCCAAGGTCAAAGTAGCTCAAAAACCTACCCATGCTGTCTGAAGAGCTGAGGCAATGAATTTTAAATAGAGGAGGAAGATACAGCATGAATACATAAAGTCTTATCATGTCCATAGAAATATCTATAAAACCTATTATACCAAGGGGAAAATCTAACTGTAATGGTATCAACAGGGGTGGGTTTCAGGCGGTTCGCGGTGGTCCCCGCGAACCGGTTGGTCGGCGAACCCGGAAGTAAGTAACTTCCGGGAACATCGAAGGATCCAGCCGCCCGCGTTTCTTACCCGGTTTTGACGAGTTCTGCGCTTCCACGCATGCACAGAACGCATACAGCACCTGCACGATCCTCCAGAAGCAGCTGGAGCATCGCACAGGCGCTAGTACGCATGCGTGCACTGCGCGCATGTACGAGGATGCTGCCAGCCCCGTTCCAACCGAACCGGTTGGAACGGGGTGAGAAACCCACCCCTGGGTATCAATATCATATTGAGCTGAATAGGACCTAGGCAATTCTGTCATTTAATGCTCTTTTTCAAAATTTACTTAGCAGTATTATATTTTAAAAATCTCTTCTGCCATGCGATTGAACTGATTGTTCTTAGAAATAACAGTTTTCTTTCTTTCTAGCACGCAACTGAACAAAACAACAATGAAACTCTAGACATATACAAATATGTACCATTCATAGAAACACTGTAAGGCTCAGCTTCTTCATAGTACCCTTCTGGAGATTCATTTTTGAGGCCCAATTGTAGTTTTGATTCGGGAATCTGTGCAATATAAATAAAAGTTAGGAAATAAGCAGATAAAAAGTTTTGAAGCAGGTTCTAAATGTTCTATCATCAAAATTAAAAGGAACATTCTCCTATGAAAGCAAGATTTATTCCGTTCACAGAACTTACTGTTATAAGAAATTTCGTATTAAACCAAGAACAAAAGGCAAGCATTGTGGTGTAACAGTGCTACAGTTATAATTTTGTATATTTTTCCCTGAATATGAGTCAATGGAATTTTCTGAAAAACCCTCATCAATGTGACATTTGATTATTCCGACAATTGTTCTGATTCTGTTTATCAAAAATAAGACAAATTACATCTTCCTGGCATGTAGATGCAGTGATAAAGTGACTTACTCTTAAATTTAAGCAAAGTTTAATATACAGTACTGTGGTGAGCCTACTGGGTATTTTGGAGGATTTAAAATGACCCATGCCCTTCTTTGTAACTTAAGGTGGTCTTGATTTAGCTAATATCTCATCTTACAACACTGTCAATATTCAAAATACCTGTCCAGCAAATTATCAGATTGTTACAAGGCATTGGAATACAATTTCCTTGGACTCTATAACTGAGCTATCATGTGTCAAAGATCTGAATATCATTCTGATTGTAGATGAATTCTTTTTTGAAATGGCATATTTTATTATCTGTTGTAATCTCCCTTATGCCTTGAGTTAGCTTGCCTGTTCATTCAAAACGTTTTCTGGAACCACTGTTTATCCAAATACTTAATTTCTTACAAATGGCATCAATTTGTGGCACATTTTGAAAATTGTTTTAGCTACTGTAGCTTGATCCATCTTCCAAATAAACTACAGTGAGAGGACAAATTCTACCTTAGAATACTACTTTTGTTGCTATGTAAATTACCAGAAAGACATCTAGCCTAATATTTTATCTAGAACTATATTGAGTTATAAGTGAGTGCACACCTCCACTCAGCTGACACAATTGCCTGTCTGTGGCCACTTATAACTGTCGTCTCATCTTGTAATTGAATGCTTTCCAGTGCTCCCCTCTTATACCAAAAGTTCAGCACTCTTAAGAATCAAGTGGATTCCACTAAAATATCTTACAAGCTCTCTATTATCATCACCTAGAACAGTGTTTCTCAACCTTGGTGACTTTAAGTCCTGTGGACTTCAACTCCCAGCATAGCTGGCTGGGGAATTCTGGGAGTTGAAGTCCACAGGACTTAAAGTCACCAAGATTGAGAAACACTGACCTAGAAGGACTCCCTGACCACTGTTAGAGAAACTCACCTGAAATGTCTTCCCCACATACATGCATTTAAGAAACTGGATGTCAAGTTTACTGAACCTTTTCTCATGGCAGCACAGTATAGATTCATTCTATAACTTTTTGCTTCTAACTTGCTGCCCTGTTGGAAATGCATCTATTTGTACACCATGCTCTTCCAGTTCTAGAATGTTGCACTGCATTTTGCACACTTCTTGATCACATCATTTCAGTGGTGGGAATTTTGAAATGCATTTTGAACTCTCAGTGCTGGAAGGACAGGCTGTAATATTTGCTTCATCAGAAGGTTTACTTTGCAATGAGCATTCTTGGGAGTGGTAGATGATATTTGTGTGCCAGACCTCCTTCAATAGTTTCTTCCGCAATATTGTTATAGGTATAAGATAATTGTCTGGATACACAATCAGCCTTCGGCATCAATCAGCAATTCAGATAATTTTGGGATGAACCGGTTTGGGTAAAGGGAGGCAGACATTTGAGTGACAAACAAAATAGAGACTCCCCATTCAATTTGCTGTGGTATAGGACATATGGTGAAGCCTATTTGTGAAGTCTCTTACACTTGGGATTCTCTATCTTGAAACCTGTTTATATTGATTAGAAAACAAATCAGACCACTTTATTCCATTACTATTAGTACAGTTTTTAAAATTGAAAATTTTGAAATGACTTAGAGCATTTTAAAATGAATCTCAGCCAATTAGTTTTAGACTGAACTTATACACATCATTTAAGGATAAGCCACATCAATAATCTATTTGCAAAAGATTTCCAGCAGCAATCCCTAACTTTCAAATACCAATAAATGAATGAGGATATGCCAAGTAATTAGAATATTAAGTGGAAAGCTTTATTTTAAAATAATGACAAAATAATTGCTTTTGATTGTTTCCTTGGTAAAATATTTACTCCCTTTGAAAATGGTTAAATGGAAAACGATAAACACTAATGTAAAAAAAAATGGTAGGTCCAGTTTTTACAGTACTTATAGACAATCTTTAGAAATCTATTTAAATATTTTAAGTGCTTAAAAACCACACTGGAGTTTTAAGCTATGTTTTCAGTAGTTGGATCTAGGCAGGAAACCTGATTGTGATATACATTTATAGTTAGCCAGGACCAGACACTATCACAAAGTCTAGAAAGATTAAAATAGTTATCTTGCTCTACAGTCTTAAAACAAACATTTATGTTCTTTATTAAATAAATTTCAAACGGACCAAAAAGAAAGTGACTCCTTTGCATTGTTTCTATTAACAATGGGAATCAGATGGCGGTAAGAGAAAGAATAGTTTCATCTTTCAATCAGTTCAAAGCTCAATTAATTACTTTCTGCCAGGAATATATCACTATTTTCTGATTAGTTCTGGAACTGAGAACAGGAAGTTTAATGTTTTTTGGCCCATTCTATAATTAAACAATTATCTGGCATTGAAAAATAAACATATTAATGTTAATTTAAATACCTTTGTTTCTGACTCAAGTCCTTACTTTTTGTTGCTCTTATTTACAGATAAGAAAGTATTAAAAAAAAACAATTGGGAAGAGGATGGGCAAGAGGATTAAAAAAAAAACTTTTCTGAGCTTTGTTTTCTAAATGTATTATTGATTCTTTGATTCTCCCACAAATCAAAGACTCGGGGTTTTTCTGCCGTGGTTGTCATTTCAATGCCACTGAGTTCTTATCAGTCGAAAGGAAAAGAAGTTGATTTTTTAAAAAAATGCAATCAAATGTCAGGGGAAAAACACTTCCTAACAGCAAGACCAATTAGCCATAAAGATTGTGGACATCATGGGATGTTGAAACAGGGCTCGAGAGTAGTACGGGAGAAGCTATAACTTAGAATGTTGCACTTAGCAAGAAACTGGATTTGAAGAAATTAAATTCAACTCAGCAGAAAAGAATCTGAGTATACTGGAATAAGTATTTTTTTGAAAGAAGTCTAAATAACAGGGATACCCTACTTATAAACCAGCTTTGTACAGCCTGGATATGCTGTCATAAGAAATTTTCTGTTCATCAGAAAATTGGAAAGAAACTAATTCATTGTTCCTTGTGCAGGAGAGATTAGTTGGCAACAGGAAATAACTGTCATTCATTCTTGTGCCTCATCAAAATGAACCACATCATTTCCATTTCACTACTTTAACTTCCATCTATCGGTAAGGAACCTTGTGGTAGCTTGAAAGATTGTAGAACTTTCTCATCTTCAAGACATTTAACTATATGGATTTTTTTCTTTACTATCTTTCCCAGTAAAGGGTGTTGCAATCAACTTTCATTTGGCTTTTATTTGGTCTGCCATAGCAACAGAATTATTTGATTTTCTTCTGCAAGAAAAAAAAAGCATGAAAAGCATCCAGTGGCAAATTATTCTTTCAGTTTCATTCACCTTTTTACTAAAATTTATTTTGTTCAAGTAAAAGCTTTTTTCCCTGACACCTAGAAACTATCCAGTACTTTCTATGGCTATTAAACAACTCGCTCTTTCTGATCTTGGTGTTTATTATGAAAACCTCATAAAAACCTCTGCTAATCTTATCACTTCACCTGATCAGTGATAACAACTTTGCATCAACCAACAGCTTCTTGTTTACATGACACATACATTTAGCCAGACTAGCAAAGGGTGGATATTTTTCAGATAAACTAAATTATCAGAAATTGGTGAATTTCAGGCATTACTGGAATTGCTGCACATATTGCTCCTATCTGTTTAGCACATTGTATAGATAATCTACATAGTAACAAACTTCAAATGCAGATAGCGTTAGTCATAGCGTTAGTCCCTAGGCAAATATTTCTGCTAGAGTCCTTTTACTGATTTGACTAAGAAGCAACCAATCGGCTCCTTTGATTCTCCTCTAAGTTAGAGTAAAAAAGATCCGGCTATGACTACTAATTTATTTTGTGTGTTTCCTTTGTGAACTTCAATATTGTTTGGATGATGGTCTCCTTTCCCTTCCCTCTTAAGTCTCTGCAGAAGATGTCAAAGAAACACATTTGATTAACTTTATAATGAACTTTCCAATCTTGTCAATGGCACTATAATCCACTTTTACCATTAGTTGAAGTCAAGCAAAATGTGACGTTAAGGTACCTCAAATTGAGTATAAAGCCTGCTTGGAAATGAATGGTTAATAATTTAGTTATTTCTTCAAAGACCCAGTCACCACAAGTGTTTCAAAAAAGTTCTAGACAGACTTGCAGGAAGTAAGCTAAGTTATTATACACTCTCAAGGGAACTTCCAAATGTATATGTGACATACATTCTACAAATGCCTATGCCCTAATGTTAAATAAGACAAATATAAAGAAGTTAATGAAAAATGCATCCAGCAATTTATAAAAGGGTAGGGGTTGTTTGAGCATTATTTTTAAAAGTTAAACTTAACAACTCTCTTTTTCCATTGTGGAAAGAAACAACCTATACAGTGCTTCAGATCCAATTCTAAAACTGATGCTTTTGTATGATTATTCGGTGTGGGTAGGTGTGGGTATATCAGAGGTGGGTTGCTCCCAGTTCAGCCCGGTCCAGCTGAACTGTTAGTGGCAGTGGTGGGAGGCTCTGCCCACCCAACCGGACACTTCTGCATATGCGCAGAAGCGTCACAGGCGAGAGAGAGAGCATGCGTGCACACGAGCAAACCAGTAGTAAAACTGGTACAAACCTATCACTGGTATACACACAGAAATAGCCCGTGTACACTTCTTTAAAACAGTCACAACAAAGTGTTGATAATGACTTAGAGGCTTGCAAGTAGAATTCTCTTCTGATTATTTATGAACTTCCAGAGCTTGCTTTGAAATCTTCACTGATGAATTGTTTTGAAACAAATCCAATCTTAGCTCCTGGGATTTCCATTCTGAAATTAACAGGAATGGTCAGAGTTGCTCCTAACAATCAAGTAATGTGTACAGGATTCACTTCATGCTTTTATCCTCTTAATTAAATACAGGAAACATAAATAATTCCCAGAATGGTTACTGGCATCTACTGTGATTGACCAGCTACAATCTTAAGAAAACCTTAGCTACAAATAAGGTTGACAAGAAAGGGCATGAAAGAGAAGCAAGAGTGGATCTCATAATTTAAGATGTGAGATTCTTCCCAACTACAGCTCTAAAAGTGTAGAGTTTCTTTCCTAAACAAAGGTCCCTTGGCAACAACTTTATCGTCTTTTCAATATCAAGTATCATGTGGTGATCTTTTGATTGTTTATTAGGTTCTTTTATCTAATAGCAATGCCAGTTTTAGTCTCTGCTCCTTTAGCAGCTATTTAGTTCATTCTTGTTTTATACTATTTTTATGTTAATTTTTAATCCACACATTTATTGTATACTGCCCTCGCAGCTTTTGCTGTAGATTACCTAATAAATTTAGAAACAATAAGTGAATTAAGAATTAAGTGAAATGATATTTCTCCTCAACCTGACAGCTAGTGAAAAACCTTTCTTTATTTACTCTTCTACAAATCAAGAGATGGACAATATTCTCCACAAAACAAGTGCTAGTATGCATATAGGCCAACCTAGCTGTAGCTGTTGTGGTATAACATGACTATGAAAAACACTAGCAGGTGTTTACCAAAAGTCAGAAAAGTTGTCTACCTTATTTAATGCTGCATGCACGTGCTCATGCATGCACGCACGCGCGCGCGCGCACACACACACACACACACACACACACGGCTTTAAATAGAATAGCTTGAACTATTTAATTCTTATGTATTCCAGTTTGAATTTCCAGATCCTAGACCTGATCTTCTAGACCAGTGCTAGGTAACTTCTGACAAGCTAAAGGTTGCTGAATTAGGACTTCCAGCATGCTGGGTGCTGCATTTCAGCAACAGAAAAAGAGGAAGAGAAGAGGTCATCTACCTGTAGCTTGAGTGAAAATGCCAATTAGATGTTAAGTCACCATTAGCTTTTACATATCATAGATATAACAATCTGCCTCCAATCCAGATTCACCTGTGTTAAAGCACAGAATTTCAAAGAAATTGTATTGGGGGGGAAAGCCTTTAAATATACATTACATTTGAGCATCTACTGTAATTTTTAAAATTACAGAATAGTAATGGGGAAAAGGATTGATTGAGCATTTGGAAATTGCTGTCTCTAAAAACAGCTTCTCATTCTATCCAGCCCGGCCAAAAAACAATGATAACTATCTAGTTGAATGGACTAAAAACAGTACTTGGACAATGAAGTTGTATGTCTTAAAGTCATTGTTTTTGTCAGGCTTCCTTTCTCCAGCTACCTTGATGGGATCACTCACTCCAAATCCTTGCAGCAGGATTCCACAGAAATCATCCGTCTCATCAGCCTTTGACTGCAGTTTACACAGCTATTTCCTCAGCAGACCACCCACAGGTTTTCACTTCCTCCCACACTAGGTCCACGCAGTACGTATATTTTCTTGCAGGTTTTCTCTTTTTTAATGCACAAAGTACATCACGTATGACATTCCTGAGCTTTTGTCCGTGACCTCAGTAATGCAACCTCATTTCACAGTACTCAAAAAGAGCAGGAACTGATTTTCTGTCTCTTAAAAGACAAATTTTGCCAAATGAAGCCAAGATTAAACAAGTGATCACACAATGGGATTTAGATTTTCTCTAATATTCTGTATTAATAAGAAAAAATAGCTTCTAAATAGAGTCAGCAGCTCTATAGAGTCAGACAATTATCAACATAGCTGGGCAACAACAGCAAAAAGAATAGCTAGGAAGTATTCAGGTAGGGCTATCTGTGAAATTGATGAAAATAAGTTTTTTTGCTAGTTGTTTAACATTTATAACGAAGATGAAAGTTCAGTTCTGGCAAAAATAATAATATCCCCGCATAGTTTTCTCTTTTTTCTTGTGGTATTTGTGGGTGTTCTATGAACTTCAACAGATTTATATATCTTGCAGGTTACTTAGAAGATCTTCAAATTCTAATGTATTCATGTGTTTTTATTTTTAAATGATATATCACTTACTATTTTTGAATGTGGAAGATCTGGCAAGCTTTTCTGTGGAGGATACAAATACTGCTCCATTTCTCCATTAGTCAACAAATCTTGGTAACCTAACATCATAATCCAAAGAGAAATCACAACAAATAAATGGTAATTACATATAATTATACTCAGCTACAATCTCAGATGCTTCACTTTTGTTTTGAAAGAAAAATATGATTAATTAGCCTACTTAGCCTAGAGCACCCAAATGGCAATTGATTTCACTCCAAAAATATGGTGGAAAAAATAATACAGCTCAAGACATACACTTTTGGTGCTTGCAGAATTATGCGTACAGAAATACTTCAGTTAACATTGAAAACTGTAAAGTCCATTATTTATAATGTTATAAATAATCAATCTACTTATAAGACCCAGTTGATGCCTAAATCAATTTTTTGTAAGTATTCACCTTTCCTTACTGTTGCTAAGGATAGTTTAAACTATCAGATTATTCAGTTTTTTCAGTCCAAGAAAGAAAAAAGTTGTGGTAGGAGAGTAAATTCTGCCAACTGATTTTCAGCTAATTTGCAAATGTAATATGGTACAGACTATTTCATTCTTTGAGGTTTGACAGCATGTGGAAAGAAATGAATAAAACACCTGTTTAAAATCCCTCATTCAGAATGATTATAACCAGATTAAAACATGAGATGTTGTCATCCCCCTCCCCCCAAATTCAACAAACATTGTGATTCTTTAATGGATTCCAGGACTTTTAAATGATAAATAAGAATAAACATGATGTAAGTAAGCAGTTTAACAATCATCTCTTATTTGGACATGTTTGCTGGGATGAATGGAAGTTGAAAATGCAAAGCACGGAAAAAACCACCAAATTGCTTATTCTTGGAACAAAGAAAACAAATTATATTTTCCCTATTTATAACTTTTCCACTACAGTAACCTACTTAAAACAAGTCTTAGTATATTATAATGTATCTCCTATAACTCTCTTTAAGTTTTCCTATCAGGGTGCTCTAGACTGTCTAAAAATTGTGAGGGACATTATCCAAAATATGACAAGGATAATATACTGCAAAAGACTGACGGAATCAGACCTGACATTTTTTGGTATGGTGACATAAGAGAGATGAACATGATTTCTATACTTGGAAATTATCTTTATGTGCAGAGAGGTTATATTTGAAATCACTTCAAGCATCCCTATAAATATGCTAAGCAAAACTTTCGCTGAAAATAAGAGTATTCTAAAGTTGGATGGTCTGATAGCTACCCAAATGGTAAGCAGTGGTTCTGAAAAGAATCTGGCATGAACTTTGTTACATTCTTGTACAATTTAAAAATAAAGTTAGAACCACAGTTCTTTTGGGATTGAGCCTGGGGAGCCACAATAACAGCTCTGCATCTGAAACTTTTAATAGTTTTCTGGTATAAGAAGGGAAGCAGCAAAACAAACTATCCATACTATAGTAATGTTATTAGCCAAACAAATCAGACATCTGCTGTTCTTCCCACGTCTTCTCAGATTTTCTGTTTCTAGGCAATTTAGAGACAGATACCAGGGGCTACATTTTTCCATCTATTAATCCCAAAATGGAATCAGTTATAGGCTCAACCCAAGCAGGGCAGCTGCAGAAAACAAAACAGATTAAGTAGTAAGTGCGTCTCCAGCCAAATTTGTTAGAGATGGATATCTTTTTTTTTATTTTATTTATTTATTTATTTATTTATTTAGTCAAGCATATATATATATAGATAGATATATGATAACAGATAAAAGTATAAACATGATATGCACTGACGTATGTATTGACTTAAGGAATCCTTCTACATATGAAACAGTGGTGGATTGCAAATATTTTTACTACTGGTTCGGGCATGCTCCCCTGCGTGGGCAATGCCTTTGTACATGTCCAGAAGCATCTGGGTGGCTGGGTGGGGCCTCCCACCACCGCTACTACCAGTTCGGCTGAACCGTGCTAAATCAGGAGCAACCCACCACTGTTATGAAGCTTTGAGTACTCATGCTATTTAATATCTATGTACAGAATTTTTTCGTATTCACAGAAAGAGGATCTATGTATACAAAAAGCTTCTGAAGGCAAAATATCCATCCACTTAGAGTCCACAAGCAGTTATTATCTAACCTAATGTCACAGAATAGAACATATTATATGTGGCAGTTCCCCGTGCTTTGGTATGGATGGATGTTATACAGTTGAAAAGTGCTATTCAGAAACGCTAAATGAACATAGAAGAATAATATGTTTTCAACAATTCATATTATCTATTAGGCCAATGTATTAAGCCAAACAAATACACACACACACACACACACACACACACACACTTATTTATTTATTTATTTATTTATTTATTTATTTATTTATTTAGAGTCACAACCCCTGGTAAGCCCCAATTGTGGGAGGAAGCTAACTGCTTCCATCATCTGTCAATCGGCTCGTCACAAGAGTCCATCATGACAGAAACCCAATATTTTTACTGTTTATGTGTTTTTTTATTTGTGCTGATAAATAAATAAAGGGAGACTAGTATAGATCTTACTAGTCTCCCTTTATTTATTTATTTATCACCAGGGGTTGTGACTCTAAATATATACCTTCTTCCCTGGCTGGCTGATAAGGAGTCGAGCTCTGTGGCTCAATGGTTAACACATCTGCCTTAGAGGCAATACAGCACAGGCTCGATTCCCAGTAAGGGTATGGCTAGCTGATGAGAGCTAAATAGCTTGAAACAGATCTATACTAGTCTCCCTTTATTTATTTATCAGCACAAATAAACACACACACACACACACACATATATGCTGGTCTTGTTTTATTTGGGTCTTTTCCCACGTAAGATTGGGATTGAGATTGTCTTGGCAACATTTTCAGCGAAGTCTCACTCACCATCACAGGCTGGTGTTTTCGCCTTAAAGTGTGGTTGGAGCTGCCGTCTTTCTATAAATCTTGTGGGGGTGTGTGGAGTGCTGTCTTTGTTTCAGTAAGTGGATTTATTGTTTGTGTGGTTATATCATGATTGGTAGATTGGTGCTGATTGGTGTTGGCTGTGTGTCTATTGTTTTGTGTTGCAACGGCCTGGGTGGTGGGTAGGGCTCGTTTGTTGACTAGGGCTGGTTTCCAGATGTCTGGTAGGTGGGAGGTATCGTCACATTTATTCATGTTGTGGGTGTGTTTCTCTATTTCAATATCTTCCATAATTATTCTTCCCAGGCTGTTACAAACAAAACAACAACGGACACACATCCAGCACCAATCAGCACCAGGCTACCAATCATGATACAACCACACAACCAATCAATCCACTTACTGAAACAAAGCCAGCACTCCACACCCCCCCACCAAGATTTATAGAAAGGCAGCAGCTCCGACCATGTTTTAAACCAAAAACACCAGCCAGAAGATGGCAAGTGAGATCTCGCCGAAACGTTGCCAAGACAACTATATCACTATAAAATAATAATAATAAGAGCACAAATCTGATTACGTGACCACAGTATTTCCCCCCTCCCCCCCCGAATGGCAATACTTGTTTTTCTGGAATAGTTTATTTTCAAGCTTGGTGCCCTCTAGATACATTTGAATGATAATAGCATTTGATGCCTACCTTTGTCGGCTTTTTCTGGTTCCCCATGTAGTTTATTTATGGTTACTCTGTTCATATAAATGTATTCTTCATCACCACCTACAGTGTAAAAATATTGTAAAGTACTGCTTTGCATTTTGTTGTGTGTACATGTACAGTATCAGCAATGATGTGCGGAAGGACCATCATTCTGATTGTCATTATCCTGCATGATTCTTTCACTTGCAATTTTGATAAGCTAATTTACGTGCTTTACTCTATGGCAGATAATTTAAGCAAGTTAAAAAAGCATTTTGCTTTCCCCTTCCCTTTTCTGTTCTCATGCGAAGTACTTTACTGGACTTTGTTCCTGAAGAAGTTATTTTGAGTAAAACAGGGAAATGAGAACTTTTAAAGAGCAAAAGGTAAGGTGATTCATCCCTTGCAAATTAATCTTATTAGCAAACTTCAGCAAATAAAAATAATTTATGATGTTTACAATAAAAGGAGGGGAATAAAATTTTTGCACATTCCTATGAACTTTGCTGTCACCTTGAATTAAGCAAATTAATAGAAACACAACTGGAAAAGAATTCCATCCTCTTTTTATCCATTTTTAATCCCCACCATGATCTGTAAATGTGTGGTGTTTGTAAACATATTCTGAGCAACTGATAACAAGATTTGCACCTAATTAAATAGATCCCAGTCCTCAAACACATGTATCCCAATAAATAAGTTTGTTTTCATGCTGATAAATGATATCTGTTTCTCTTTTACATCTCATTTTGGAATAAGGTTCAAACAAAAATGAGAAATAGACAGACTGGGGTACCAGCAAGAAAGATAAACCTTCCAAAGTCAATAATTGTTCACCTGATTTTGCTTACCATTTGATTTTGTGCACAGCCGAAGGAGGTCAGCCAGAAAACTTTTTTTGACTACAGCTGTGCTGCTGAGGTTCTCTTTATCTAGTATCTTCAGAAATTCTTCAAGTTCTGTCAGCAGTTGTTCCAGAGCTAAAAGAGATATGAAATAAACTAGCTTATTTATTGCATCCAATGCCGATGGCTTTTATGTAATCCAGGGATTTTTAAAAATTTCGTTGCCTTTGTATGATGCGGGCTACAAACCCTCACTTTATATGTCTGCATATCAAGTATTTTTTCCTAGTTTTGGATTAGCCTAAAGTATTTTTCCAGCATTGGAAAAAGCAAATATGAAAGGAAAACAGAGGTAGGTGATGTAACTCCATTGCTCCCCCTCCTGGTAATGAAGAAAATATAAAAATTATTAATTACAGGGAGTTCTTGAGTTACAACCATAATGGAGATTGCCCATCATGGTTATAATTCATAATGGTTGTAAAATGGGTTGATCATGTGACAAAACTAATTTTATGACCCTTTTGGGGCGGTCATTAGGTGAAGGCCACAGTTGTTAAGCAAACTGGTATGCTATAGGTGTGATTTTGCCAAAAACCAGAAGTAAATGTCAGTTTATGGTAAAATTGTAGTAAAATGTGGGATGTTGCAAATGGCCATAAATATGGTTGCATTGCCAAGCATTCAAAATGTGATCATGTGGAGGGTCTCTGACCACCAGAACTTCAAATCTGGGTTATATGTATCCCCAGGTAGGCCTATTGAAACTTCAAATGGTTCTAAACCACCAGTTCCAAGTTCAGGGCTACCTGTATATTTTTTTTGTTCCCAATCAACTTATAAGCAAATAATACACATAAGCCTTTTTACTTTGTACAGCTTATTCTAGGCTCAGAAAAGATTGGAAAGAAGATTTTCCTCTGCTCAGTGCAAGGAAGAGTGTCATATGGTGGATCCAGTTTTAAAACTCTACTTGCAGCTGACCAGAAACTGGCCCTTTCTACTTGCATGGGACAGTCCATACTAGGACCATCACTTTGTGGCCAGCCTGGTATAGTGTGACCCACCAGTCATAAGGATGTCTCCTTCATCTGAATAAAGCTTTCTCTTCTAATAGTTGTGTTGAGTTGGACCTTGCTTCTGTGGTAAAAGGGATTGCCTAAAGCTGTGGGCACAGTATAGCTCACTGAAAACAATAGGGCAGCATTCCACAATTTATAGGAAATCTTCTCTTGAGTATTATGGGAGATGAAATTCAACATATTTGGAAGGCATCAGAATGGGAACTCCCATAATATAAAAAGGTTTGAAGATATAGGCATAGATGAAAGAAAAAATGAATCAAATGTGGGGACAGACAGACAGACAGACAGACAGACACACACACATACACACACACACACACACACAGAAAATATTGGAACCAAATAAAGTAAATAGGGATAACTGCCCCAAAATGAGCATTTAGCAAAATGTTGATCCTTTCACCCTGATCAGTCTGGGTCCCAGTCTGGAACTACAAAATTTCATCATCTGCGATCAGCACTGGCTATGCCAACTGTGGATGATACAAATTTCTGGAGAACTCTAAGTTATAGAGTTTGTCTATTTGTGCTAATCAAACATTATTATGTATTTAATTGTTAATACCCCTTATCATTATAAGACTGCATTTAGAATATTACATCCAGTTTCGATTGCCATGATATAAAAAGATGTTGAGACTCTAGAAAGACGGCAGAGAAGAGCAACAAAGTTGATTAGGGGACTGGAGGCTAAAACATATGAAGAAGGGTTGCTGGAATTGAGTATGTCTAGTTTAATGAAAAGAAGGACTAGGGGTGACACAATAGCAGTGTTCCAATATCTAAGAGGCTGCCACAAAGAAGAGGGCATCAACTTATTCTTCAAAGCACCTGAGGGCAGGACAAGAAGCAATGGATGGAAACTAATCAAGGAGAGAACTAGCTTAGAATTAAGGCGAAATTTCTTTCCAGTTATAACAATTAATCAGCAGAACAGCTTGCCTCCAGAAGATGTGAATGCTCTAACACTGAAGGCTTTTAAGAAGAGATTGGACAACCATTTGTCTGAAGTGTTATAGGGCTTCTTGCTTATTGTCTTTTCTCTATTATTGTTTTTCTAGCCCTGTGAGTAGATTGAAGACAACAATTTGTATAAAGTTATAAGCAAGTTTCATGATAGAGCAAGCACATTTCCCTAGTAATAATCCTTTTTATTTTAACATGAAAAGTAGACTGAATGATTAAATACTAAGAATGTAAACTATTAACTAAAATAAATAGAACTTTGAAAAGCAGTAAAAGAGACGATTCTATTTCCCCAAACCTAACTATCCACACCAAACCACTGAATGCATATGTTTTTCTGCATACTCCTCTTCCTCCGCTTATATTCTCTTTAAAACATCTGTGTAGAGCCTACCCCAAGTTGGTGTCCTCTAGACTCATTGGACAAAACAATCCAAAACAAGCATGACCTAAACCCTTCTAAGCTGGCAGAATTTCTTTTCTGAAGAGAATGTCTTGGCAAAAGGCAGTTTCCTTCTAGCTGTGGCTTTATTCTTTATTGCAGAAAAGTGCCAGGCCAGCTGATCATTTCAGTGAAACAAGCATTCAAGTGGCAGAATAGCAAATGTGATAGATTTACAATGGATTTCCCAGAGTATTCTACAAAGTACATTCCAAGGTTCAGAAGGGTCAGCTGCTCTAGGGAAAGAGAAAGTAAATTACAACAGCAGCAGAAGAATGCTGTTCTCCCGAACAGCAAAAAGAAACAGATGTGCTGATAGTGGCAGATGAAAACAGCTGGATCACTTTGAATGGAAACTGACCTTCCTAAAGGAACAAATTGCATATATATTTGATAAGGGAACCCTTCGGTGCTACTCACTTGCCTGAGACTTCAAGGTAAAAATAGGCTAAAACAATGAGTAACTATAGCAGAAAACAAGAAATACCTGTTTTTGCTGAACTGTTCCTGTTATTACTTCTAAATCCAGCATAAATAAAACAAGAATGAATGTTGATCACCGTCCCATTTTGAGGGAGAGGCTCTGGAAAAGACTAAACTGATCCAAATCCTCATTTGATTTCTCAACTCTTTGCCAGGTGACTATTAAAGTAGTCTGGCCTGGCAAATTAGCAATGTTTTGCTCCCAACAACATCATTAGTCAACCTTATTAGTGCACCATTGTTACCATATAAAAACAGCATCTATTTCTTTATATATGTCTGGTTTTATTGTAATTGTATTTTATAATGGTACTATACTATATTTGCTTGTTTTAAAAATGATTATATTTTGTTAATTCACATAGAGTGCATGACTCCAAGTGGTATTTTAGAGATAAAAAAATTTCAGGTCTGGTTTAGTTTTCATAAAATTGGGTCTATGTGACTTTAGAGGTTTGCTAACCCTTGGATCCAATTAACAAATTTGGAATTGTAAGAGTGTGCTATGAGTACTCTTATTAAATGGCCAATTTTTAAAAAATGCATTCCCTCATGGGAGGATAAAAAAAAGACACAAATAGAACATAGAGAGTGAATACGTATCAGTCATTCATACCTATTTTACAGAATGTAAATTGAGGAAGCTCATAGGCATGTATCTAAGTCCGAGAATAAACTTAAATTATAAATAAGAATTTGGCTTCTCCCCAAAATAATTTCTCATAATGTAAAAGGTAAATAAATATTTAGACAAATGTGCACAAAGAGACACGTATCTATTCAGCTGATACATTTCTATTCAACAAATCATGCATTGTATGATCCACATTTAAATAAACAACATCCCTAATTTTACTAGACAAATACATACAAATAAAATATTCTATACTAAAGATAAGGTTCCCTCCCTCCCAGCTCTCTTGCCACACATAGGACAGATACTTCAAAGTGTATGCAACTGACACATAGATAGTCCTCATATAGCAACCACAGTTGCATCTGGCCACTTGGTCTTAAGTAAAGTGGTTGCTAAGTAAAACTGCAATTGTGCTTGTGATCTTACTTTAGATTTCCAGAGCTTTACCAAGCTGCAAAGGTCATAAATTTGAGGACTGATCATAAAGCTACACATCCATTACCTTTGTAACCACAAATGGTCACTAAACAAGGTAATTGCTCCATGCAACATTGGAATTACCAACGAAGTGTAACTAGTTCTGGTGGCCAATTGATCCAATTAGTCTTTGAGTTGGCCATGTTTACAGGGCTAAGCCAGTTCTGAAGCACCTCAAAACACATGGCTGGCTTCTAAGCTACATTTCTCACTTTAGGAATCACAAAAAGCAAAATCTCATCAAGCAAGCTAAAACTAATTGGGAGAAACTGGAAGAAAATACCAATTGTTCATAGGAAATTTGCACAAAATCATCCCAAAGTATTTTTACCTCTCTGAATCATTTCCTCCAAGCAGCATTTTAACTTAGTCAGAAATTGGTGGGAAATATTGTGGGGTTGGTACTTGAGAAAATGTAAATCACAACAATCTGACCAAACTCCCCACCCCGCATATTTCTCGATGTGCAAACTGTTAACCCCAACGAAAAAAATATAAATGTGGAGTCACTGTACAAACATAATCACTGAAATGCCAGTAAAACCAACATTATATTTCAGTTATATTTTAATGCACAATTTCAGAAAACTATTTTAAAAGACTATCCATATATTTCTATGAGTTACAAGCCAGGACAATCCAGAGACTGAGCCTTGTTATTTGTAGGCTGAAAGCTCAACTGTGGAACCGGATCGGTACAATATGGGCCATTCTGGAAATAGGGACAATCATTTTATTGAAGGAATTATCATTGCTGAACCAGGAACTCTGAACTTTAAGGAAGAAGCACACAAGGCTTTCCAGTTTGCGGAACAAATAACAGACTAGCTTCTCTCCTCTTCACTGGAAGAAGGCAGTGGGAGGATTGGGGTGGGAGTGGGCAAAGAGAGGCAGAGAAGGTTCTTGAAAGACATTCAGAAGCCTTAATCAAGAAAGCGCTGTTTCTTTCTTTCCCTACAATTACATGCATCTTGGTACTTCATTACAGTTTTCAGAACTAAGATCCTGCCGTAAATAAAGGTGCTTTCAGCCTTGCCACAATGAATCTTGATTTAAAACACTGTTTTGAATTTTATCATTGCACAGAAAGCATCATTTGGATAGAAATCTTCAACCTGGGGGTTTTGAATTCACAATTCTTAATAAGGCTGCATATGCCTTACTGCCATGATGGCAAACGTATGGCAAGCGTGCCACAGGTGGAACACGGAGCCATTTCTTAGGGCACACGAGGTGTTGCTGTGTTAGCTCCAGCGCACATGTGTGCGCTGCGCAGCTGACTTTGGCCTTCTTTTAAGGCCATTTTTTCTCCCTCCAAAGGCTTCAGGAGGCTTCCCTGAAGGCTCTAGAGGGTGAAAAACAACCTTACA